AAAATTATTTAAATGAAATGGCAGAAGAAGGAATACTGGAAATGATGACCTGGCCTCCCCAGAGTCCAGATTTGATTATAATTGAGCATATTTGGGATTACTTGGACAGGAAAAAGGTCGAACATGCTCCCAGAAATGCTGAAGAATGTTTTCAAGTACTTCAAAGAGAATGGCACAACATACCGCAGGATTTTATAACAAATTTGTACGAACCTATTTCCCGGCGAATATCGGCTGTGATTAAGGCAAAAGGAGGACATAGTAAATATTAAGGGTTTTTTTATGAAGTGTGACATTAAAAAGTTTGTTATTGTTCTATATTTTGTGTGAAATATATGTGTTTTAATAATTTTATAATATAGAATTCGAAACTTAAATATTAAGAAAGAATTCTCTTGGATTTTTTGAGAAAATGTAAGTGGTCTAAAACATATTCACAGTACTGTATATGTTTTAGACCACTTACATTTATATATATATTTATATTTATTTAGATCACTTACATATATATATATATATATATATATATATATATATATATATATATATATATATATATATATATATATATATATATATATATATATATATATATATATATATATATATATATATATATATATATATATATATATATGTATATATATATATATATATATATATATAGGGGAGATTGGTCTATAACGGGCCCCTCGGTTAAAACGGGCCCCACGATTGGCACGACACCAAGCGGATTTTTTCGGTGACTCTGAATGCAAATAGAACCAGCTTAGTTTAATGAATATGCATGATTGTTTACATTGCGTTAATAATTGACAGGGTCTTGTAAAAACGTGTCGAATCAATTATATCAATTTCTCTTGTTTTATTTGACGTTACGAAATCACAGACCTACAAGTCATATCGTCATATCGAGTTACAAGGTAGGGCACTATTGCTTTTGTTTTTTTGTTACGATTACTCAGGAAATGAGCGATTTCATGTGTTTTTTATCGGAACGTTACAACATGAGGATTTTGTAATGGCCTTATCAGTGTCTAAAACGGGCCCGCTATGGGCCCATTTTAGACCAAAGGGCCCGTTTTAGACAGCTGATGCAGGCATTGACTTCTTAAGGTGGTTCATCACAAAATAAATGTGAATAAATTATTTTTTTTAAGAAAAATTATTTTCATCTTTTCTGATAGAAAATATTATTATTTTTTAGTTTTTTGAAAAAAATTCTACATTTTGTTTTGTATATTTTGTGATATTTAACTTTTTACCTAGGTATATTATCAAATAGTTCCTTAGCAACGCCTTAGTTACCGTTTTGAACAACTACAAACCTATCTAGTTCATACTATGAACTTCATATGTAATATTGTTTAATGAGAGGTCTTCAAATTATAAATTTGTCTGAATCTGTTATGTAAAATATAACTAAGTTTAAACTGCATTATGGGATATATCAACATAAAAAAGTCGTTTAAAAGTGTGCTTATTTAAATAAATTTGGTGTGTTATTAAAATAATTTCTTTTGATTTTCTTGTTGTTTTAAAGTAAATTAATGGTACTATTAATCAAGGGTGTATGTCTTTGAATGTTTCAAATTAATGTATAATCTACTATTATTACAGATTAATAGCACATTATGTAATTGTATTGTGCTTTGTTTCAGCTTCTTCAATAAAATGGGACGGTATAAAAGAACAACTGAAAGACAAACGTGGTCAGAGACAGGTATGGTCAAAGCAATTGAAGCATTACGTACAAAAACAATGGGATTAAAGAAAGCCTGTAAACTTTTCAGCGTACCCCGTTCAACACTTCAGCGGAGGTACAAGTCAAGTCTAGCAAGTGGAGCAGCAGCTGCAAAAAGACTCGGCTCAAGGTGCAATGTATTCGATACGGAAACTGAACTGGAACTTGTTCAGCATATAAAAACCATGGAAAGTATGCTTTTTGGTTTCACACCTAAGCGCTTACGAAAACTCGCATATCAACTAGCGAAAAGTAACAATATCCATGAAAGATTCAGTTCTGTCAAAGAAGAAGCAGGTCTGGACTGGTATAGAGGATTTATGTCACGACATCCAGACCTGTCTTTAAGAATGCCAGAGCCAACTTCTTCGGCACGGGCACAAGGCTTCAACAAAGTTGTTGTTGACCAGTTTTTTGATTTGCTCACTGAGTTACAGACAAAGCACCACTATAGTCCAGACAGGGTATACAACTGTGACGAGACTGGTTTCACAACTGTGCCGAACAGACCTTCCAAGGTGATAGCAGCTCGGGGCAAGAAGCAAGTTGGCAGCTTGAGTTCGGCAGAACGTGGTCAGTTAGTGACAGTGGAAATATGCATGAGTGCATCAGGTAATTTCATCCCTCCTATGTTTGTGTTTCCGAGATGCCGAATGAAGCCTGAGTTACTTGATGCTGCACCACCAGGATCCATCGGTGTAGCCCATCCGTCTGGTTGGATGCAAACTGATTTGTTTCTGAAATGGTTTGAACATTTTGTATATCACAGTCATTCGTGTGCCGATTCACCAGTACTGTTGATCCTTGATGGACATAAAACCCACACCTTAAATCTTGATGTTATCAATCTTGCTCGTGAAAAGTGTGTTTCTCTCCTATGTTTACCACCTCATTGCAGCCATCGGCTACAACCATTAGACGTAAGCTTGATGAAACCACTCAGTACGTATTACACTCAAGAAGTTGAGAAGTGGTTACTTGTTCACCCAGGTAGAATAGTGACTACTCTGCAATTACCTGCGCTCTTCCGAGAGGCTTATCTTCGTGCAGCCAGTGCTCTGACTGCAGTCAATGGGTTTAGAAAAACTGGTATATGGCCAATCAATCGTGATGTCTTTTAAGATGCAGACTTTGCTGCTTCATTGCCTACAGATATTCCAAGATTGGAACATGAAGCAACTGGCAGCAATACAGAGTTGGTTGCTGGTGAAGTTTCACCAACAGGCGAATATGTTGAACTCATTATAGAGAAAACTGGCATGCCTATTGAGATTCTTCAGATACCAGTGTTGCAGTCACAACCACTAATTCGGCATATTGGTGAAGGGGCATCTCAACCCACATCACACGAGTCAGGCATGGAGCAACTCGATGATGTTGATCAGTTAATTCTTCAGGTTATTTCTCCGATAACAATGGAGCTGACAGAAGGACAAGTTGGTGACATCGCCTCTCTACTTACATTGGTCGAGCCAGTTCTACAGCAACCCGGTGGCGGTGATGTTGATTCTTTAGTTTCTCCGACAACAATAGAGTTGATAGAGGCACAAGTTGGTGACAGTTCATCTTCACCAAGATTGGTCGAGCCAGTTCTGCAAAAACCCTGTGATGCTGACGGTGTCGGTTTAAATACACCAACAGCTGTTGGTTGTCGAAACGCTCTTGAACATAAACCTAAAGTCCGTGTTTTGCAAATTTCGCCTTTACCAAAAGTGGAAGTGGGCAGCATTCGCAAAACATCGAAATCGAAAGGTAAAACTGCTATTTTGACTGCCAGTCCTTACAAGCAAGGCTTAGAAACAAAAAAGCGTTTGGCTGAAGAGAAGATAGCTGCAATGGAGGCTAAAAAAGTGAAAAAAGCTCTTGCGGCAGCAGAAAAAAACAAGAAGACTAGCAAAACGAAAGAAAAGAAGCCTAAATCTGCACTAAATACAAACCAAAAAAGAGGAGTGAAACAGACTGGGCCTATCCAATCAGTTTGTCCAGAATGTGGAATCATGGAAAAATCTGTCGAGGATAAGGTGAAGGCGTGTGACTGGATTTCATGCAAAACCTGTCTGACATGGTACCATGAATCGTGTGCAGAAGTGAATGGAGTATTTGATGAAGATTACTTTTTATGTGTTCAATGTTGTGAGTAGCACCACATGCTACTCGTTTGAACGTGAACTTTCTATTGCTAACTGTTCATCATGAATAGATCTAACTGTAAAACCTATTCACGAAGCTGCAGAAGTGAAATGTATTCATCGTTATTAATAGCTTAATAGTTAGTTTTTGTGTTGAAATGATGAGTTGTTTATTGTTCAGATCTTGCTATTGCATGATAGTATCCTGATAGCGTAGACGCAAAATTAACAAGTTATCATTTGAATAATGTTCTGATCTGATTTTGTCACTGACAGAGCACAAGGTTTAAAACGGGCCCGGGGCCCATCTTAACCTGGCCAGTTAAAATGGGCCCGGGCCCGTTTTAGGCTTAGCTATGGGATAAAATGGGCCCCTAATCACAAGTTTTAAAAGTATGATTAATTAATTAGTTTGTTATATTAATCCAACTGATTATGACCCATTAATTACATTGTCATCTAAGTTATGCTATTCTTGCATTAGGCATTCAATACTGGTATCTATATCGGGAAAAAATGAACTTCTATGCTAAGGGGCCCGTATTAGACCACGCTCCCCTATATATATATTATATTATATATATTATATATATATATATACAATAATCAGGATCAAAATCTCTCTCTCACTTTAAGTTTATATATATATATATATATATATATATATATATATATATATATATATATATATATATATATATATATAT